TTCAGCTATCGGCTGAACAGCGCCTCATGTGGTTGGAGTAAGTGCACATCGTGAGGGGAAGCCCCTGAGTGTGCCATGTGGTGGGTGTAAGAGGGAATTACAAGAGGGGGAGTTCAATTTCTTCGCTTGCCGTGTTCGGACGTTGACTTTGATGCACATTTGCCTTTGCTTAATAGGATAGAGTTAAGATCGATAAGATAACTTGACGGATATCTGGATTGGTGTTGACGTTTATTTGAAACATTAAAGTGCTGTAATGTCACGTTGAATTTGGTTTGTACTATAGTTCTGCATCGATTTTGGATTGAAATTGGAGGTTGACTTAATTTTGATGTGGTGCTTTTGAGAAGCTGTTATGAATTGTTTGATTTCGATCTCCAATGTTTAGCTGAAACCAGATTGACTGTCATTGCATTGTCTCTGGGTTGGGGGTGGATCGTTGTTTATATTGTGGTATAATCTCTGGCGACATTTGTGGGGGAGTGCTTCTGCTATACTTCCTGATTGATATTGCCGGCAGTTTGACTGTATCATCATAACTTTGAATAATTTTGTAACCTTGATTAATAATTTGGAGTAATTCATTTTTAGACATCAAGATTAACTTTATTGAAGTTTAATTTTTAGACTTTTGAATTTTGAATGAAGATTGAGTTTTGATTTGAGATATAATTAATTCTTTCTCTTTTTCCTCTGTTTAATTGTAATCATAGTCTTTGGCATTGATCATTGATTATACTAATTTTTACAGTTCCGTGATTGATTTGAATTTTTGGTTAGAGGTACTGATAAGTTGATTTAACTTAGTGGTCTAACAAGATAGTTTAGTAATTACACAGCAGTTATTGGACTGATTTGATGTTGTAAATTGCCCTCCTTACTTTTTAGATTTGGTTATTTGTTTTACTGTATCGATTCTGGTCGATGGTTCGATTTGACATTTCCTCGGACAGCTGTTGGAAGTGACTTGGTTTGGTTTTTCCTGCTGTTAGTGACAGAGTAACACCTGGGACAGAAGGGACAGCATAGCGGTTGTTTAGAGTATTCCAGTTTGCATGATGGCTGCGCTTACGACTCAGGAACTGCTTGTCAGGGCCAGAGAGGAGGAAGCAGGTAGCTGTGAACATGGCCGTAAAACACCAAGTGAATACCAGGAGGCCGCAGAGGAGCTGTATATTACTTCAGGACTCCTGTCTATCAAAATACACGTGCAGAGGACCCATCCAAACAACGACAAAGTAGGAGAGGTTGCTGATGGAGGACGTCATCACAATAGGCATTGTATCCTGGTGAAGAAGACTCCAGACCGCTATGCAGACTACATTCTCCCGGTAAGAAATGAGCCACCTGCAGCCTCCCCTGTCCCACAGTGCCCACTACTGAGAAAAGCCAACGGTCAGAGCGAGTTTGTGCCCTGGAGTCATCGGGACATGGAAGCGCTGGAGAAGGCACTGCCGCCATTGGGAGAAGGAGCTAACCCATGGATCCGGCTCTTTGAAAAATACACGACGGCAGATAAGTTGGGTCTTGGAGATATGAGAGCCTTAATAGCCCGTCTAGAGGGAACAGTCAACCTAAGCGCCTTGGAAGTAAGAACAGGCACAACCAACGACGACAATGAGGCTCCATTTGATAAGGTCAGAGGAGTATTTTGGGCCACAATGCGAAACATCTGGCCTACAAAGCCAAGTATGTCCATCCTGATGGGTCTGAGTATGGAACAAGGTGAAGACATGTCTCAATATCTGAGGAGAGCAGAAACAGAATGGCATTTGGCCACAGGAGAAAGACACGACAATAACAAATCTACTGCAGTAATCTGGCGACACACTGTGCAGCAAGGCTTGCCCCAGGCTGTTCAAACAGCGTTGGAGGGAGTAGTGGGACTGGACGACATGGAGAGACCATCTAACCCACTTCTACAAAATACAGAGAGCTGCGGAGACAAGGAGGCAAGAAGAACTGAGGACGATGACGCATCGACTCCTGGAGATCCAACTGGCAGCAGCAGATGCAGAAGCAACGAAAAAACAGAGAGTCAGGAAACAACTGTCGGTGAGAGATGAACAACCTCAATACCCCGTTCCTCCAGAGGCCCAATATCCAGCCCCAGCAGTCAGAGACCGTTCAATGGTTGACCAGCAACCACCACCTCAGCGCAGAGGCAGAGGACGTGGAAATAATAGGGGAAGAGGAGATGAATGCTACTTATGCGGACAGACGGGTCATTGGTCAAGAATATGTCCAACGAACATGCAGTTCAGTGCAGCTCCTCCACGGTCTTCCTGTCAAATGCAGCCCAGGCAGAACCAGAGGGTCTATCTCACCTCCACCCCCTCATGCAAACCCCACAGCAGACGAGGCCCTAAAACAACTAACTGGTGACACACCGACCCCCGCTGCTTTCCAACAGCTCAGATAAGCACCCTCGGCGTCCACGGTTTACGACTCACATTCCAGGAAGAGGAGCCTAGAGATTATAAACTGCTGAGAGTGTCAGCTGAAACTAGACTTAAACCCGTAGGGAAGATTGATTTTAAAAAGTAAATCAGTCATTGAAATTAAGATACAAGGTTGTGTAAGATTTAAATGAGGAATGAAGGTGATAAGGAATTAGGAGAGTTGTTGTATATATTGTCGATTTTTTGGATTAATGTTTGTAGTTTTTTGAGTTTCTCCTGAATTCAGAGATGGGCGGTAAATTGTTGAGTGCTGCTATTGAGTGTATAGTGCACGATACACTTGATACAGTATCTTGATGATTGAAGCAAATGTCTGATCAAAGGAATATTTATAGCACCAGTACACGAAATATGGAAATTTGTTACAGACGGTCATCCTGTAATGTTCAAGAAGTAGTACACCCTTACATTTGGATACGCTAACCATGAGAGGTTGGTGATCTATCAGTAATGAATGAATGGATTGGATCAAACTAAGCATGAGCTGAGTTTGTGTTTGCAGGTAACAGACACGTCTCCCACCCTCTGCTTTGCTTTTGGGCTGAAGAGCAATAAAAGTGGAGATTAACACTGGAGGGGGGTCTGGAACAGATGGGTCTGATGCTAAGTTGATTTATTATCTCCTGGTACTTTTTGGGATCAAGGGACTCACAATCTTCATTGTTGTTTTATGACCCTGAAGGGTTTGGAGAACCTTTTGTTTATATTACAGGGGTTTGGGGTTCACATTCTGATACATTGATTGAAGTTTTAGAGACTGATACTGCAAATGCTCGACCACTTGTCAAAGTGGTCACAAAGGTCAGCAAATTGACTGTAATGATGGAGGCCTTCAGTGAGGCCATCGAATGGTTTATTTTAATGGGGAAGTGGTAAAAATGGGAAAACAGGTTGAGGAGTTATGCAGTAATGCATAGGTTTTCAAAGGTGATGACACATCATGACAGAGCAAACAGGCTGAAGGTAAAAGGAGAAGAAATTGACTGTGAGGGTGAGAATGTGAGGTAACATTTTTGTGTATACTTGGAATGAGCAGATTGCTTCGAGGTTAGAATGAACAAAGAGAACTGGGTTGGTCAATTAGTTGATGAAGACATGGAACAGTCATACACCATGAGGGTGAGACCTACAAGCAAAACCTCAAAGGGATCATTGAACGGGGACACGAAGGCAATGTTGGTGTTAATTTTTCATGAGTTGACTATGGGGGTCAATAATCAGTTATGTCGAAGATTCCAAATTTCTATATATGAATGGCTCCTCAAATCGATTGGAAACAAGGCCATTTGAGAAAGGCAATTTTCCAAAACAATGTGTAAATACTCTAGGAGCAAATAAAGATATGCAGAGGCATTCTTTACGTCAACGCATCACATTTTTCATTCAGCTGAGGCTCTGATCCAAAGCGACTCGCAGGAAGTGAATTTGAACAAGAGGGAACAGAACCAGAACAGCAAGAACAAAGAAGAGATTTCTCCTTCTAAGAAAGCAACATTTGTGAGTGTCATCCAGGTGCTAATTCTTCAGTTGTAGTAGTAGGTAGTTATGTGTGTTTATTATGTTCATTAGGGAACTCCTTCCACCATCAGGTGAACATCAGGAGTCAGGACAAATGATGACTTTGTTGGGAGTTTAGCTCCCAGTAGGAGAAACAATAGGCAGATGCTGAGATGGGAGTGAATTAGGGACGAGGATAGATTTCAGAGGGGATGCAGAGGTTGAAAGGTGATGGCGATTCATGGTCGAGGAGGGAGTGAGCAGACCTCCCTAAAACAACAACTGATAAGAGGAGGAATCCTGGGGAAGTGTCGGAGCCATAAAATCCATCCACAGGTTGTATTTCATCTCAGAGTCACCCAACAGGTTTAAGAATCACACACGGTTGGTATGGGGGGAATTATTTCACTATGGTAATTTTACTGACGCATTTTTCCTCGAATACATGTGCATGGCAACTGTTAACGCTGTTTTGCTTTTCAGTAGGAACAGGCAACTCCAATGCGAGACGGTCCAGCTCTGCAACGACACCCAGTAGAAACGGCGTTGTGGGGGTTTTACGACGTTGTTGGATAAGCCAGGAGGTGGCCTGGGGTTGATTAGCATCACCAAAGGCTATGTGAAGGGATGCTTTTACACCTACCTCAACATGAGGGACTGGGGGAGAACGAAATACAACTAGAAATGTCCGATTGGGGAATCTTGTCCTAATGGGACCTCCGGTTAGCAGAGCAGTCTGCTCACAGGAACTGAGGTGGTCCGAGGTCCAAGGAGGGAGCGTGAAGCTTAATCACACGTCTAGGATGACAGCTACGTGTCATCTGACCAAACCGCTGGCAACAACAGATGTTCCAGCAGAGGAACATCAAGGAGGAGAAGTATAGGCACACACATACAACGAAGGAATCCACAAACACTGAGCTAATGTGACACACAATTTCCAGATTAGAGAAGGAACGGGAACTGCTGGGACACTTGATAAACACATATGATAAGAATGTTCAAACAAACATACGCCAACGATATTACAGTAACAGAACTTGAGGATTTTGAATTCAGAGCGGCTATTCGGTTGCAATGACCAAGCATCACCAAGATAAAACTAAGCAGCATTAGACACATTCACGGGGGAACATTTGGACAGAAGGAGGGGAGAGCGGTTTTGGCTTATCACAGTTCTAAATTAGATCCCATGGAACTAGGACAAGTAGGCTGCACCAGACATTTGGCCGCAATAGCTCGAGCGGTACAGAAGACTGCATACTTGGTAATGTGTCATCCTTTGAAGGTCCACACAGACCACGGTGTTGTAGCGTATCTAGACACACAAGCTTTCACTCTGACAGCTATGAGAGGGGCTGGGATATCTGGTATATTGACCCAGCCCCATCTCTCTTTCACATCAGAAGGTGTGAATATGACATCTGGATTGCCACCTACTGAGGGTGGTCATGACTGTGCAGAAGTAGCTAGGAAGGAGACGAAGGTGACGAACGCAGAGACAGCCGCCAGCCAAGGGAAGCAGGTTCCAGTCATACCGCCAGGAAGCCGGGTGTGGATTAAGGCCCATAAACGCAAGTGGAGTGATCCAAGGTGGACCGGTCCTTGGGAGATAGTATTGGCAACATCACACTCGGTAAAGGTGAAAGGTAAAGCGGGAGCCACTTGGCATCATCTCACACATTGTGCACCTGCTAAGGCACCAAGCCAGACCCTTGCGGAGACCCGATTAAATACCAGGCAAGTTAATTCAGAGCCAAAAGACACAGGAGGGGACAAAGGAGCAGAAAATGTCTCGCCCACAGCGTAAGTATCAGTTGGTAGTAGGGGGTTCAAGTTCAGCTCGGGGAGGTGCAGCTGTTCACACAGGTGACGATGACATGACGTCTGTAAGTGATCTATCCCATCCCAGTCGACAAGATGTTTCCTTACCACCTAACATCCAAGCAGCAATTGCTCTCACGTAGACATTCAAGGAAAATATAACTGCATCTGTTCAATTTGATTATTGTGATATTGCAGCCTGCGGAGTCCAAGACCTCAGGTTTTGGAGGTCGGACCAATACTTGTGTTCCACCACCAACCGATGTGGACCAGGAGTCAGGTTTGGTAAGCCAGTGGAGCAGTACGGCTGTGACTGCGAGGAGGCAGAATGGAAGTTCGCACACACTGGTAGATGGAAGTCATCTAAAACTGGTCCTAAACCTGGGCTGCAAACCCGTTTAACGATGCGGAAAAACCGATATCCAGATTTGGCTAAATGTGGGGGAGGGTTGTGCAATCCACTAATAATCACATTGAAAAATCCAGAATTGGGGGACAGTGGACTATACGTGTTGAAAGGAGGGACATACGATATTGAAAGCCCACAAGGGTTGTTTAAGATTGTTGTTAAACCGTCTGCTAACAAACAGGAATCCACTGCTGATCAGGTTGGAGCTGAAGCTGACACTTCTTGGGAGGGTGTGGTAAGACGGGAAACTGGATTCTCGGAGTCTAATCTATGGCTCCAATGGGTACAGTATACTGCCACAAACATGCACAGTACAGATTGTATAGTGTGTTCTCAACCTAGGCCTATGCCCACTCCTATACGTTCCAGATTCAGACCAATAAGTCCTATATTCAAATGTATACTGGAGCTCTTTGTCCTGCAGACTCAGCCTGTCCACCATACTTGTCTAGAGTTCCAATGGGATTATCCGCCAGCTACCTTGAGCACGCCACCTCAATTTATGGTTCCAGATGGTACATTTGATTGCATAGTATCAGAGATAACGGGAGGGATAAAAGTAGGTGACATTGCAGGAGTAAACTGTACTACAGTTCAGTTTGCTAATGTCACTCGATATTCAAGTGTGTTGAATCAGACGATTTCCAGAAGCCGACCTCTGGTGATGGTGTGGAACTAAGGTTATTTATCCAACGCTGCCAGCTAATTGGACGGGTACTTGTGCATTAGTGCAGCTTATCATGCCATTCTATGTCTTTCCAGTGAAGGAGACCACATTTCAAGACTTGATTTCACCACATCCTCACGTCGCCAGGAGAGCGAAGAGATCCACTAGTCCTGCGGGCTCATTTGATAGTCATGTGTACTTAGATGCCATTGGGGTGCCCAGAGGGGTGCCTGATGAGTTTAAAGCCAGGAATCAAATTGCGAGCGGCATAGAATCCTTTTTCTTCTGGTGGGTGACAATCAATAAAAATGTAGACTGGATTAATTACATATACTACAACCAGCAGCGATTCATAAATTTCACCCGGTATGCCACAACAGGGCTCCACGAGCAGTTGGATAAGACTAGTTTGATGGCATGGCAAAATAGAATGGCACTGGACATGATCTTGGCAGAGAAGGGAGGAGTCTGTAGAATGTTTGGATCTGTTTGTTGTGCGATCATCTCCAACAACACAGCTCCTGGTGGCTTGGTGACCAGAGCACAAGCCCCACTGACAGCTTGAACCAGCAGCTGGCAGACAACTAAGGCGACGACAATCCTCTCACCAACGGGTTTGTCAGTATTATTGCACAACGGAAAAGTGCATTCCTGTCTGCGTTAACCCTTCTTGTGTTGCAGTCATGATCTAGTCGACTACGGATGAAGCTGCATCTCCTGCATTCTTGGATTCCTGCAGGGATTGATCGATATTGTGTTTAGTGAGACTAGTATACAGGGAAATCGGTAGCGAGTAGATGATGAGGGACAATCACTGTTGACGGATGTGACTGTATGATAATTTTTCTGTCTTTGAGAGATGCTCACAGTGAACTGTGAGCAAGGAGGGAATTGTTAGGGATTTAAGCCAGAAGTGCACCCCTAGTCATAGAATTGTAGTACGTGTAATGATGTTTAGTGTTAGAATTATAGTTTGTGTTATTAGATATTAGTTATTACATTAACATGTTAGATGAAGTGAATACAATGTGAATCAAACACAATTCATAGTCATTTAAATCATATAAACACTGTAACATTAACATTCTGTCATGATGTGATGTTAAAACCTGGGGACGGATGCCAATTGCCGTTCTTTATGGATTTCTCCCAATTTTATCCCCAAAAAGGGTTTTTGGGAGTTTTTTCTCCTGTCAGGTAATAAATGAACAACTTCATGTAAGGCAGCCGACTGAGGCAAATGTCTTGAGAATTGAACCACATGAACTGTCTTAGATCTTATGATGAAATGTGATGAACGGTGATCATTAATGATGGGTTGTTGTAATGAAAGTGTACTAGTTATAAGATGAAGACTTAAACGATGTATGCTTTGTTGGGTTCACTCATTGAGGCATAAAGCCACTGTATCTGCATTGAGTGCATTGGAATTTGAGGGACAGCTAGGACAGAGAGGTTTCAGGTTACAGCTGCAGCTTCACACCTCGACGTGAAGGGACAATGGAGGAGGTGACCCTTTGGAGAAGAGGCCAATGACATTCAAATGCACCAAAGAAGACACACCTCAAGAGTTTTCAAAGGACCAAAGCGGGGAAAGACTGTTAGAACTTCTCCTGCAGCCGCGTTGATAAGTCACTTCAGACTTGCTCAGAGGATTCTCTATTTCGCGAAATATTCCACTGTTCGCTTAGTATTTCACTTTGTAATTGTAATCCCTACTACGTTGTTTAGTCATTAAATACTTTTTGATTTTTGAATTTAAACGAATTGACTCATTCGTGTCCTCGTTTCCGGCCGGGACGAGAACAAAGGATTGAGTCCTCCCTCGAGAGCTTCCGCAAACCTTAACAGCCGTGGAAGATGGACACATGCCTGCTTGTCTCTTCAATAATTGATTGTGCTCTCGTCATCGTCACCAAAACTCATATCAAGAAAAGAGTGTCAGGCTCACCTTACTGATTAAGCCTGTGTGAAACTTTAATGCGCACCCCATCTTCAACCGATGACCAACACAAAGTGCTCAAGCAAACGCGATTAAAAGGAAGTTAAACCCTCCCGACGTCCGCGATACGCAACAAACACTGATCATACTTAGATCGGTTCCACCGTCGTTTGGAGCCTGGAAGGTCTCAGAGATGTCGCCACCCGATAGTCTGAACGGGGAGGAACGTCGTGAAAGATTTAACTGGAGCTTTAGGATGACTGAATGGGCTTTGTGAGCTCTGTGCAAGAACTCCATCCATAATGCAGGGGATGACAGCACTGCCTCTGTTCGCCAACAAGCATTAGTCCTAAGCCTCTGCCTATGATGTCTGCGTGCAGCTTCCCTTCATTAATGAATGATAGGCCGTGCACATATCGATGACGACCCCTGATACATCAGGACCTTTGTGCATGGAGGTTCTGAGAAATCTATTTCCAGCCCGCCTTGAGCGTACTGTTTGTATTTCCCCTAATACATGTTTTATTCATGTTTAAATATATTTACGAGACATAGGTTGGCGACTCAAAGCCACACCTTGCCTAAACCCCCCCGCGCAGCCGTCACATGTGCTGACTCACGCTCGGACTGAGTAATGGCTGTCGTGGAGAAGTAGACGGTTACTTTGCTGACTTCTCCAAAAAGAGAAGGCTCAGGGAGGCGAGGTGGCGAAAGTCCCGGGCCGACTCGCTTTGACCATAGTGGAAGCAAACCTACATGGTAGGAGGGGAGGGCCAAGAAACATACACACTTTATAAAAGTGCATTACACTCGTGGTGCCTTCAGAGGCTCCTGTCTGCATCTTGAAATGTAGTGTGTATTGTAAAACGTTTATTGTCAGTAAATCATTTACAACATCTTCTGCTGTTAATGTCTCTTTTTGGTAGATCATTTGATATTATACTTTTCAAGTTACACAAACAATGAGTAAAGACCTTTAATCTCCATGAAGCTGTTCAAATGACCAACAACAACTAGCCTGAAGTATCAACATCGTCCTTTCCCAGCACACGCGTGGACTGAAGATGTGCCGTGATAAGATGGTTCATTCCCATCCCTCCTAATGCACTTTACTTTATCTTAACTTTGATATTATTATTATTCAAGTAAGTAAGATTTAATAACTACACTCAACCTGTGTAACACATACCATTTAGAAGCCTAGTTTAAAGCATTGTTTAACTTGGGAGTATTCCTTGACGCTAAACTGTTGCCAAGCATTATAAATTCCAGCCAACAAATACTTTGGCACACAACCCCCTAAAAAGTTATAATGTGTTGATTTTTTAAGTTAAACAAACCAGATTTAATGTAATGAACTTTAGAGGCGCTGATTCGCCTTCCAGCTAAAATAATCTAATCTAAAACAAATATAAAAGAGTGGAAACCATTATCTTATGCCAATAAGTGTATTTTATCCAAGGCACCGTAAGCAGCTCCAGGTAAAGTATTCATTGCATCGGTTCACACTGTTTATCCACGGCAGTGACACAGTGAGACAGTAGCTGACAGCACTACAAGGCCTTTGGCACCTACACCCGTGCTTTCCACAGCCTGACAGCACAGACTCCACGTCCCGTGTTCCTACATGATTTAGAGAACTACTGTGAACTGTCAGGTTTCAGCTCCCCCCGCAAGTCTCAGTTTCTTTCTCAGGTCTAACTCTGGCCAACAGATCCGATATGGTTTGATTCCATCCTTTGTGATTGTATAACACGAGAATGAGCTAATTGAGTTTGAAGGAGTCATATCCAAAAAAGCTTTGCATATTTGAATCCAGGAGAGCACAGTGCCGTTGATGTCAGGGCAGACAGAAGAAAACAAATGCAGAAAGCAGACAAACTTTACGAGTCAAAAAGGAGAAAACTCTACTCCATATTAACTGCCATGGTAGACTGTAACAATTTTGATCTGAAAAAATGTCAACTCATTCTTCACTTATATCCCTTGGTGCTGAAAGTGACTATAGACCGTTAACTAGAGGATTGTCATAGTTATACAAACACACACAGAATTGTGCACATGCAAGCTCAAACAAAAGCTTTTAACAAAGGTTGCATGTATGCACGTATATTTCTAATATAAATATTTAATAATCGTATCACATATATAGGTATGGATTATTGTGAAATAATTGACAAGGAGAACTTTCCAAAATATATTTTATTCCTGTGAAAAAAATAAATATATATATATATATTTTAGTAAAAACATATTTCTTAAAGTTTATGGACTGAACTATTTGTAGTGAAAATATTGAAGGGCTTCATGGGTGGCATGAAAAACAAGATTGCATCCCTGATATTCTTTTGTAAATATTGGTAAAAGAAAGTCCTGCTAAAAAGAATATTACATGTATAATTAAAGTGAATGTGTCAACAGGTATGATGTAAATAGTCTCATACTCTTTAATAGAAGAAAAATAATCTTACAAAATAATATTAGAATGACCTATTCTCATAAAAAATAAAAATGACATCGCATCATAATCATTGAATCAATCCGCTTTAATGGGGTCATTTTTAAGGTCATTCATCCGCTTAAATTGCAATTCAATCAATTCACAACGATGGGAAGTGAAAAATGACACTGTGGCGCACTCTAGTGCTCGTGCGATGCGACGTCCGCAGCGGGAAAAGAGTAAATCTGGATTTTTCCACTGTGTGAGTATTATTTACCATTTAGAGAAAAAAATCCCTTTAACGCCCAATCCGAAAAACAAATGGATGAAGCTACTCGCCACCATAAATACACGTCGTTATACTTTCCCCGGATGTGACGTCACGCGGCCTCTTCCTGTGTGACCGTCGGTGGCCCCCCGCTGCTGCTGCCCGTCAACACCGCGGCCGCCACGAGACGCCCGCGTTCGGGGTTTTATTGTAAAACGGTTCGTCTGAGACGACAGCTGAGCGCCAGCGGCCCTCCGTCATGCCGATGTACCAGGTAAAGCCCGTCAGCGGGAGTCACGTGAAGACCGACTTACCGACCTGCATGTACGCCGTACCGAACGTCCACGCGCTTCAGGTAACTCAACTGCTTTCATTTCGACACGGATGATTTATCTTTATTCATGTATGTATTATTTTTTTTGCTGCTTAGCTTGTATTTAACTTGCTTTTTTAAGCTCGTGTTTAGCGTTAATATCGGTCGTGGTTGCCAGCTATTCGTTTTCTCTCTGTGTATTAGCATTAGCTTACTTTAGCCTAGCAAAGTGAGCCTCCTCCTGGCTGATGCAACAAACGTTAACGTTATATTTACAGTTGCCACTCTTCCGACGATTAAAGAGGAATGCATTATTTATTATGTTCATAGTCCATCTTTTGCTGTATTTGTTGACACTGCCGGTGATAATGAGCCTCAGTGATGATGATGACATCTCTTACCACCGAAGCCCCCTGTTGTTAAACACTCAGGGTGGGTTAAATACACAGGTCTGTTATGCCTATTGCTGTTGTATGAATTACTTAACAGGTTACGTTAGTTAAACTGTAATTCCAGTGGCTCTATCATTGACGTTACTTAACTTAACGTAAATACAGTGTTCTATCGTTAGTCTTTTGGGTTATTTCTGTTTCATGCCATTTCCTACTCGCTCTATACCTCGATTTACAGCTATACAAATGAAAATGTAAAAATACAACTTACACCGTTAAATTTGGGGGCCTCAGCCTAAACGAGCGAATTCCTTGTGTCCTCCCAGAATGGTGAAGTGGAACCTGCAGTCAAAGCTCTGGAGGCCCGGCAGGATGAGATCATGCGGAAGCTGTACGAGCTGAAAGCGGCTGTGGAGGGCCTGGCCAAGACGGTGACCACCCCAGATGCTGATCTGGACCTGACAGTCAGCAGCAGCAGCAGCCTCTCGTCCCAAAGCCCCACCTCCACGACCTTCAGAGGCACCACTGACCTGGACGCGCTTCTGGGAAAGGTGACGATCCTAAAACTAGTGAGCCTCGCATCCAGGACGCTGCACAGTGTTTATAATGAACGTCGTTAGCATATAAAAGGGATACCCTACATGAAACCGTGCTGACAGAACTGTCTTGTACTTTATTTTCTCTGTGGTTATTTTCCTTAGATCTTTTCCTGATTCCACCCATCATAACTCATTAGATTAATCACACCACGCAACACAGAACTGGTTTACTCTGGAAATCGCCTTGAAGCACATATGATGGTGTTGACTCATTGCAGCCTGTTTGTGCACGCTGGATTGGTCCAGATAGACTAGACACAGGATTCACTTACTTACCTTCTCTTCTTTTATGTCTTAAGGATCTTGGTGCTCTCCGAGACATCGTCATAAACGCCAACCCGGCGCAGCCTCCGCTCACTCTGCTGGTGCTCCACAGTGTGCTGTGTCAGCGCTATCGGGTTCTCTCTACCGTCCACGTCCACTCCTCGGCATCCAGCGTGCCGCCACAGCTCCTGTCCTGCCTCGGCCCACGCCATCCAGACAGCTACGCCCGCCAGATGTTCCAGCTGGGCTTCACCCTCATATGGAAAGATGGTAATTCGCAAACTTGAAGTAACTGAAAACCGACAGCATGACGATTCTAAACCAGTTTCATATGCTAGTGCCACTTTGCCTTCATATGAAACAGATGTCCTTCTAGAGGCGCAGTAGAAACAGGAGGGGAATGAGCGACATCCGGCTATTTGGAATAACTATTCAACTCTGCTCCACAACAATGCTGAATAGTTGGAATGTTTTATGTTGCTGGTTAGTTTATGAAAAAAGGCCTTTAAGCTCTGCCCAAGTAATTGCACATAACCAACCATTGCAGTCCAACATCAAGAATCTTAGGGAGGGACCCTGCTTTTTACTCTGAATGTTTTAAGGGGGAGATTTTTGTTGGTACAAAGTTTTTTTGTAACGTGATCAATTGTTTTTGATGAAATGCCCCCGCCCCTCCCCCGACTGTTTTAGATTACATAAATCCCGTTAGTATTCAAAAGTAATGTCTTACGGTTTGCGTTATCAATAACTGACATGTTGATGTACTGATGATGGGTTAAATGCCTTTCCCCTCGATAAAACATGTTCCTTTTGCACATTTCCCAGTCCCCAAACTGCAGATGAAGTTCAGCGTCCAGAACATGTGTCCCGTCGAGGGTGAGGCCAACGTGGCGCGCTTCCTCTTCAAGCTGCTGTCTCCTTACCCCAGTGACCCCGCTGTTGCCACACTGGTGGACAGCTGGGTGGACACAGCCTTCTTCCAGCTGGCCGAGGGCAGTTCCAAGGAGCGGGCGACTGTCCTGCGGGCCCTTAACGCCGCTCTGGGCCGCAACCCCTGGCTGGCCGGGCCGGAGTTCTCCCTAGCCGACATTGCCTGCTACTGCTGCGTGCTGCAAAGCGCCTCCGCCTCATCCGCTCCCACTAATGTCCAGCGCTGGATCAAGGCCTGTGAGAACCTGGGCCACTTCGGCCCTGCCAAGTTGTATCTAAAGTGAATGGTGCCGGCACAGGACCAGAAACCAGAAGGGCGTCCAAGCCGAGTAAAGTGAGAGCAGGGCATTAGAATATTTCAATATCCCGGCCGTGTCTGGAACACCCCCTAATGCTCCCCCCCTTACAGTAACTTATTACTGAACTGACAGACTCAGTAGAAGCATTGTGGTTGCCGATTAAAGTAACGTATTTGTGTCAGCCGTGTTGCTTTTGTATATTAAGGCGATTCTAAGGCTATTTTTGCGAGGGGGGGAGCATGAGAGGACACTAAAGACAACGGCGTGGTGACGGATTAAATCAAAGGTACTGACAGAAGTAACACACTCTGTACACTTTCCACCCACTGTGCCTAACATCCTGTTCTAAATGTGTGGTGACAGGTATTACTAGGTGTTTTCATGGGTAATACTTTGCAGTTTTATTTTAAATCATTAAAACCTCCACTTTGGATCAACCTTTGAGCCGGGGCTTATTTGATTCGATTGTTTAATTAATTTGACAACACATTTCCTCAAAAGAATGCTACGGTGTAAATGACTGAAGTTCACCTCTGTGTACAACAGGTGGCAGGATTTGCATGTATAGTTTGAAGATGATATATAGTCGTTCAATAACTTTGTTTCCCCGCTGATTACCTCGTAAGTTTGGTACCTCGTCCCACCTTACAAGTGGAAGGTAGGGAACCTCTTGACTAACGCAAAAGTAAATGCATCTTAAAAATATATTAACTCTTTGGCTTTGCGTTGTACAATTTAGCAAGATACAATGGTTTAAACCCTTCGCGCACACCGCATCAATGACCGTTTTCAGATGCACCAGCTATGATGAAAGGCCTCCCTAGAAACAACCGGATGTAGTTCTATTGAATGTGAAGGAGGAACCTCCATCAAACATATGTTTCTGTATTCATGGTTGTGCTAGTAATTAATTAATTTTGAGTAATTAATAGAAAGCTTTTTACTGACATGTCTGTGTTCAGAAAACCTTCCTAACATTTTGCTGTTGAGGCTGTAATTGTCTGTGTAGCATTGGACGGCTGCAGCAAACGGGCACACTTCCACCATAAGGAAGATTTTCAAGCAAATACCAAGGTAGTATGGGTTGATCTCTAAAGTTGAATCGCAAGCTCATTTTTCAACCAAGGTTTTGTAAAAGAACTTGACAGGTGGGACCATATATCAGATTATATTCTAATTAAATTAGTTTGATAAATATGTGAGCAAAACCATTTTAGAAATATAGTTCCTTCACCAGAGGGCAGTGACAAGTTATTTCTTTAGCTGTTAAAGGATCTTGTCTAGAACATTTCTTGCATGCAACATTTTTAAGGGGAACCGATGAAAATAAAACCAAGAAACCCCACCTGGTGTGCGTGCGCATTCGGATCAAACAAGCCCGATGCTGAGCTCCTACAATGCAAAGCATGCGCTGTGAGTTCGCCAATATAACAAAGAAGTGGTTCACATTGAACAGTGGTGCTCTCGAAGGACATTGGCAAAGACATTTTAACAATTAAGTCTCTCACGCGGCCTTTAAAAGATTTAAAGCAGCTTGCGTAATGTTCTTGTCTGATGTCCCTGCAGTAGAACGTGAACCTTGATGAAGGTGTGAGGACTGAAACGTTGAGATAACAAAGTACGTTTAAATGGACGGCTGGTTTCTTTTAATTCTGGGTTTTTTGATCCCTTGCACCTTTTCAGATTACTTTATGGCAGAACGTTTGACATTCAGACCTTAAAGGGACCTTTCTAGAAAGTTTATGTTTCTCGGTTGTTTAAAGAAAAGGAACATCCCAGTAAGTCCTTATTGGCTTTGCACAACTTTTTACGTTTTAGTGAAACAGACCAGTATGATTTTGTAAATCCAATATGAAAAAAGTGAAAAATGAAGCACACTTCTAGAAGACACTGGAGAATTTTCATCTTCCAACACATCCAACCTGATCATTTTATTAGTCATTAAGCATGTTTAATTCCCCTATTTACTAACCTGTTGATCAATGTGCAATTTTCATTTAAAACCATCCTGCTCAGGTGTGAGCTGGTCGATATCTATCCTACCGCCTCGCGTCAGCGGCCCTTTTTCTGTGTCCTTTCACTTGCAAGCAGCAGTTCAAGCTGTGTTTTCCCTCATCAGCTGATGTGCGATTGAATAGAATCCCAACAGCCCGTCTCTCAAGCGAATCACACTTTAGAGATGTGAGGGCCAGCCGCAGCAGAGGAGCTTTAAACCTTCACCTTAATCTCTGTTAGGCAAAGTGGGACGTATAGAATATATACAGAAAAGGGTGTTGAAAAAAAGAAAAGGCCAATCCCAGGAGCGTTTCGTACTCTCGTATCCTCTCTGGAAGATAGCATCTCGGGCCCTGTGGACACGTGGCCCCCGAATGCACCTGGTTCTCTGCTGCGCTGCGTCGTCCTCGCACACAAAACACAAACCTCTTTCAAAAACTGTGGTCAGTGTCTGTCAATTCACTTAAAATCTAACAACAAAAAAAGCGAGACACAGCCAGCCCCCCCTCCAAAAGGCTGTTCTCTTGTCGTCTTTGATATAAAACATACAAACCGGAGATGCATTCTCATTGAGCATCCATAGAAAAAACAAACTGAACTGAAAGACAAAAATCACTTCAGTTCAGCCCGGTGGCTTCTCCGAAACAACCACAGCACCGATAGAAAGTCTTCCGTTAGCGTTTACAGTCCTCGAATCTCATTGTCCATGATTGTCAATTCATGCATCTTCATCAAGCCATTCAGCAGTCGGGAGGTACATACATGATATGCCTATCAACCAAGCTACATCAACACAACGTTAACGGGCTAAATTGTCTGAAAGAAAATATTTTTCAATGGTTTTTCAGTCGTTAGTGTAGATTGATTGCAAGAGACCGCCTCCCCTCGCCCATACACGCGTTCACTCGGCCAGCGGCGCGCACACGAGGCTGTTGTACCTCAAGAGCTGAATGCGTTCAAAGTAGTCGTCGGTCAGGAAGTTCCTCTGCGAGGTCACCAGGTTGCCCTTCTGACTGAAGAGGCGCTGCACGGGGGCCGTGGACGGCAGCGTGGTGTTGTACTTTAAAAAAAGCTGCTTCACCCTGGGGAAGTCCTGTAGGCACTCCAGGCTCTTCCCCGTCCCTTCGATGTACTTGCGGATCTCCTCCGTCACCCCCCGCTGCTGGATCTGGACGGTGGGCTTGGCCGAGCCGTAGCTGAAGAAGTCGTCCTCGGACTCGATGGTGGACACGTTGCGGCTGGTGTTTGCCTCGGGGATGTTGCCGGGGTCCATCTGGGACGCCTCGGTGGCCAGCAGGGCGCACATCTCCTCCCGGTCCGAGGCCGCCATCCACCACAGGCGAAACTGCGGCGTGGTTGCCGTCGCGATTTTGGCCTCCGTGCTGGCGAACAGCTCCTGGAACCTCACGTCGATGGCCACCACGATGGCGCCGATGACGTCGCCGAAGTAGTTGGCCGAGTCCTTCTGCTCATTGAGCTTGTTCTTCAGGCTGAGCACGGTCGGGATGACCAGGCCCAGGTAGCACTTCTGCTCCGCCTGGAAGAGTTCGAGCGCAAAGGCGAGCGGGTGAAACACGGTCACGTACTCTTTGAGGAAGGCCATCTCCTCCGCCTGCAGGCGCACGACCTCCAGGCGGGCGCACAGCTCCGTCAGCTCCCGCTCGGAGAGGGAGACGATCTTCTGCACGGCGCAGTACTCCACATTCCAGCGGATGACGGCGGGCACGACCAGGGCCATCTTCCCGATCTCCTCCGCCGCGTCCATGCCCACCTGGAGGTGGTGGCATTTGCTCCACAGCGAGTACACTTTGGCCATGGTGCTGTAGTGCAACTGGCACATGGGCCCCTGCGACACCGCCTGCCAGAAGTCCTCGGTGACAATCTGCTCCAGGGTGTGCGAGGCGCAGCGCTGCACGGTGGGCAGGAAGAGCAGCATGTCCTGCTCCGGCTCGCCCTCCAGGACGGCGCCCACGTTCTCGTAGAAGCCGATGTCGTCGTCGCTCTCCGGGACGTCCACCGCGAACTCCTTGAAGGCGCTGACGAAGGGGCTGCCGTTGTCGGTGACCGTGGTCTGCACCTTGCTGTCGATGTTGTACGCCACGTGGATGTCGTGTATCCGCCCGGCGATGGTGTCGTGCGTGATGCGGCCCTGCAGCCGCGCAAACCCCAGGGCGGCGGACTTCCTCTCCAGGGAGTGCCTGTCGATCCAGTGGCAGGTCATGCCGAAGAAGCTCCTGTTGTTGGCCGTCCAGATGTCGGCCGTGGTGCACACGTACTGGATGCCGCCGAGTTTCGCCATGAGCTCCTCCCGCATCCTGGAGAAACCCTGGTCCACCTTTGTGAACAAGGTCACCCTGTCCATGGACTTCAGCCCCTCAGTTAAGCCCGAAATCAGCTTCCTGAAGCCGGGCTGCTCCAGCACGTAAAACGACTGGCAGTCCTCCACGATGAAGTTGAAAATCAGCTCGTCGATCTTCGCCTGGGTCATGCATTTGGAGATGATTTCCGCTTTCAGCTTCTTGAGCTGGCAGTGCCGGCTCTCCTCGCCGTTGTGCTCCTCTTTCTTCCTCCCCCTCTTGACATCAGGCCTGGCTTCACAGCCCAAGTGGGTCCTCTGCAGGACGAAACGCCCCCCGCAGGGGTTCATGTTAGTTGTTGGGAGGTGTGCAGTTTGTGCGTTCTGAGTTCCCATTAGTTTGTAAACTTGACATGCAAAAAACAGAATTCTGTTTTCTAAAATGATTGCTTTTTTTTTTCCTAGTATAACATTTTTTTGAAAGCCTCTAGCGCCACGAGTTGGTCATCAACATGCGGCTGCAATGTAACGTCATTTAACACAAGGTATTCATTCATTGCCTCTTTCACACGTAAACATTACAGCCACGGGAAGCCACAACTAAGGACTACCGCGCGTTACTTACGTCTAAATGCTTCTTTAGGTTTGACGTGGAGGTTTTCGACGTGGACAGCAGATTAACCCTCGGCAGACATAGATTACACTGGACGATGATATTCTTCCCTTGATCTGCCTTGTACGTGAAATGGTGGCGATAACGCCAAGTATGCATGGCCGATTTGGTCTCACCGCTGCTGTCATGGGGATCGCCATCCATTTCGGACATTGTCTCGACTGTTTTCGACGTCTTGAAATAGAATAAAAGTATCGTAATCCAATTTAGTAATCGTGATTACACGTAAAGTAACGATGGCGGCAGAGAAATCCTCATGAAAAAGGGGGCCGGCCTTTGTTCAGATGTGGCCCAGTAAACGAACGAGGAGGAGACACCTACGTCACACTTCGGTGACGCGCATGCGCATCGAGAGTCTGCGAGCACCATTGAGAGTATGGCGACGGTGGAGCGAGGACCCGGATGATCCAGCCATGACGTCACTGTCGTCTCCTTGTGACTTTTTTTTTTTTTACTCGCGTTCACGGAGTACTTTTACCAGCGTTTCCCTTTTTCTCTCGCTGTGGCGAGTTGGCGCCACCGGCCGGTCAGCGGAGGAGCAGGTTTAAATTGACACATTAAATCAAAACCACTCAGTCAATATAAAATTTAAAAAAAAAATTGGAAATAAAAATGAAATGGTGCTTTTATCAGCGATCTCAAGAAACGGCCGTAGAAGAAAAAAATATAATAACTCAACTGTCACATTTTTGATGTGGCTGGTTTAACAGGCGTATTCTTTCACTACATACAAACATTGCAGCCGACAGTTCTCAAACTCCTATATTATAAATATCTTTATAGTGTATAACGTGAGAATGGACTACATGCCTATTTAGTCAAATAGTATGAAACAAACCCAAGCAATGGATGGTGATTTTAAGAATATTTGACTCGGTAAATAAACATTTTTGCAGAAAATAACATGTGTAGCATGTGTAGATGTCTGAAATGGAATGATACCAATATCCAATAAGGGAAACCTTACATCTGGCTCAAAGTTGAATTTAGCATGCCACTAATCAGGTTGGCATGCAAGCTGTTTTCTTTTTGCATGTTCATTAAAACAATTAGTCCACCACATGTTCACATGCATACGCAGCGGAGGGAAGAACGTTAATCATTTAACATTATTATTTTGTTTTGCTTTTCCATAGTGAGACACACCTTACTCGCCTTTCTCTCTAATCTATCATATTGCCTTTCAGCATCCTTTCCTTGCATGATCTTGGGAAATCAGATCAACCTGAGTGATTTACGGTGTTCCATGTGGTAACACGAGCTCACCAAACCAAATTGTTTTATAATGCTCTGTTCTACAAGGGGTTGGTTGTTTGGCATGCACCACAGGACCTTTCAAAACCTCTCATTATTTATCCCTCCGACCCACATCCACGTGGCAGCTTGGCCCCTGCAGAGTTTCCAAATGTCTCAGTCGAGACTAATTCATATTTTGTCAAATATTCCACCAATGCATTTGATATTAAATTCCAAATTGTATTGTTACATGGACTTTTGGCTCCTTCCTTAATCAACAGCACCTCCATTGGTCAGATTTGGTGAGGGTGGGGTCTCACTTTAGAGCCACTGACGTGTAGATTTTAGACAGCGGCACAGTCCGTGTCGGAAGCGGAGAAAAGACTTTTGAGACAGATAAAGATAAAGAGGGGGAAATGGACAAACGAAGTGCTCTCAATTGATCAGTTGCGCGCTTCAAACCATCATGGACTCTCTGGATAAGGTTCTCTCACAGTCACAGCTGTAACTAGTTGTTTTTGAGCATCAGGTGAGCGTTTCAGACAGTACTCCAGCTTGCTCTTTCACCGGGCTCAACTTTTTCCGAGGAGAAGAACAGAGAGATCGGACGCACCCCAAACCTGAAAGTATGACCGAAGCCTCCGCGTCCTGACGCGCTCCGGCGAGCGCATGCCGGACCCGTGAGAGTGTGGACGAGCATGAAGCGCCATGGGTTGGTGTGAGCGCGGGGTTCAAACCCTGCTGGCCACCGTGGGGGCTTTTGCTGCCTTCAGCTTGATGACCATCGCCATCGGCACGGACTACTGGCTCTATTCACGGGCGTACATCTGCAACAGCACCAATGCCACCACAGACGAGACCCAGTCACAGCTCAAAACCAAGAAGGGCGATCTCACCCACTCTGGGCTGTGGAGAATCTGCTGCATTGAAGGTAAGTCGGCTCTTACTCTCACACTTTGGCTCTTCACGGTAATTAAACATATATACTGCAAGTTTCCATTTTATGTGCGTTCGAATTCTCTTTTCTGTCTTTTACAAGGTGGAGTCTTTCAATGCTCCTTGCGCGCAAAAAGACGCATACCCTTTACGCAGGGAAAATATCTCAATCGGGCAGGAAAAATAAGCAACACGTGGAGCAACTTTCAGAGGTTGTATGTCAGATGGAGAAAAGCTTCAATAAGCACTTAACTCCAATGCAGGAGGAGATAAACAAGCGGCCGGTCTCCCACAAAACGCTCAACTCCAGCTCCCGGCCAACTGTTACATCGCAATGTTCAATAAGCCCACACAATAAAACCGGCTGTGTTACAGTCTGCGAGGCGATGCCAAGCCGGCGCGTCTCAACCCATTCACATTAAATATGGTGCCTGGCAGGAAAAGTGGTGCTTTTTTGTCCACTTTCATTTATGTCTTTGTATCCGTCGCTGTTGCTTGGCAACATCCGTGAAATTGCTATGGAAACATGCACGGCAATATAAAAATAGATGATCGCGTCATGTCCAAGCAAGTATAAAATACATTTTTAACAGAACTTGAAGTGAACATCCACATTGCATTTGCATTTGCTTCTCGTTGGAAAGTGTTTTTGAAACCATTTTACGCATTTGATGTTTGGAGAGGTGTGCCTACAGTTACGTCATACCTTCAGAGTCAGTCGGCCACCCCTCGACTCCGACAGGATGCTTTTCTTCATTTCACGATGCGCCCATGGATGAAAACATGAATGAATTACAGCGAAGAAATAACGACTCACGTTTCTTCAACAATTGGTTTAGAGAAGTTTTGAACCAGTTTTGAGCCAAGCCGGCGAAATGTAACCCCAAGACCCCGTAAAACCTTTTTGTTATGCCTCGAAAATAGAGATCGTGCCACTAAGTGGCTGTGATGTGAAACTCTATCTGTATGAACAGGATTTTGTCTTGAGAACACAGAAAGCATTTGCCCGTAGCTCCAGAAACACAGAGAAATGTACATTAAGGAGGAAGTATCCACATCGCTGTGTGAAACGTGACACTCTGACTTCTGTTTCTGGAGCATTGTTGCAGCCAGCATCTTCTCACAGCAGATGGAAACAGAAACGTTTGTTCTTTCATGCATCTTTTGTTTACTCACAGCTTTTGTTATTATTATTATCTGTGTCTGGACTTTATCTGTTTTGCCTGACAGTATCATGCTTTACCTTTTGCAGAAGTCTGTTTAAATGTCAGGTTTCTTTCAGTATATTCTGTGCATTTTTCCTCCTTCATTCCCTGTCTGGCTTAATGTCATCAGGCCCCACATACAGGGAGCAGTCATCAATGATTAAACAGCGGCTGCTTGTCCTGGGGGGGGAAGATGGATGCTTTAGACCCGGGAGGCACATCCCGGAGAGCCCTGCTTAGCTGATAGCCCCGACTTCAATGTGAACACACTGCACAGTGAAATAATATAATACCTACATCCTCTAAGACCCCCAAACAAATTAAAATACAATAAATGCCAGCCAACGATAATGTCAAGGGTGATTTCCCATCAGTACGTTGCACTTCTAGATTAATGACACAAGAGACTTGTGTTTTGAATCCATAATTTGCACAATCAAAGGCCAGTCTGTCATATAAATCCCTCCTGTGCTAATAGTTGTGCCTCTGCTTAAAAATACACGGTGACTCTGTTGTCATGGAGACTCCAAAGTATAGTGGAGAAAACAAGGCAAGAAGATGAAACCCCCCGCAAACACACACACACACACACACACACACACACACACACAAAGCAACACACACCCCATCCGGTCGTGTTGGCGAAGCCCACTGGGTTTATCGACGGGGACGAGTCTGTGTCTGTCACATCTTCTGGGGAAAACCTCTCCACGTTTTTTTTTGGGGGGGGGGTTGTGGGGACAGATTGCGGCGACAACGCGTCTTTCTCTCAGCGACAGCTCGCCGCTGTATCAGACGTATAGCAGCCGCTCAGCAGCAGCCTTTAATGAGTGTGTTGTTGTGATTCTAGTCGCCCTGCGTGCTCAGCAGGCGTCGGCCGCTCTCCCGAGGGGCCTCCGTGACATTTAAGGAGCGGGCGGGAGCACATTGCGCGAGGCTCCATTGCTGTGAGGTCAGCGCTATGACCTTCGCTTTGTGCAATTCCAAACATCTGTTTATTTTGAATTTGTTTGTTTGCCCACGTGCACGTTGTGATACCGGCATCGATTGCGCGAGTCTGTATCGCACCGGAAGCTCGTTCCTCGTAGTGTGACTTGGGTAAATTAAACTAATTGTGAGGATGAGCAACAATCCAATTAGCAGGTACATATTTACGGTAAACACGCCGACTTGCGATGTGTTGGTGTGCGTGGCGAGGCACGGGGCGCGGTGGACGTGGAGGGTTGAAGTGGGAGGTTCACTCCGTCATTCCCACTGTGCTCCACCAGTCTGTAATTAAACAACCGAGGAGCTGAGCGGGGGCACGAATCAGCCAGCAGGCCCCCACTTCCACGCCGTCGCCCTCCCCTCTGCTCGCTGTGCGCTCTCTCCCCATCTCTTTTCAGACTGCTCCTTCTTCCTCATCTTTCTTTTATCAGCTTCATTCCACTTTTATTATCGAAGCTCATGAATATTCTCAATCTCCCTCCCCCCTTTTCATTTTTTATGCCTTTAATGTGTTTTTTTTATTGAATTATATGTCAATAGATATTCGCAAAAAGGGAACCTTTTGGCAAAAGTGTTCCATTTTGGGAAACACACAAATTTTGCTTTCTTGTCCAAAGGGACGGTCCATACCACTCTAATTACAAAGCTCCTGTTTGCAGTCATTTAGCTTAGCTTAGCATGACAATGCTGGTAGACAGATGTGGTTACCTTCAAGCTGTCCTCCCCATCTGCAGTCTTTGTCCTCAGCTGTAGGCTTCCTGCTGCTTGTGGTAGCTTTACATTTACTGGAAACACTGTTGTAAAGAGATTATTCCTCATTCTTCATTGCTCTCAAACCCCTTAACCATCCACCTCCCCCTGGGAACATTTTCTCTGCAAAACTCAAAGTAAATTAATTGAATATCTTGGGACTGGTTCTGAAATTGCGAAAAAAAAACACTTGAGAGTTGTTTTGGATTGATTACATTTATTTGCAACAGGGATATATCCCCTGGCGTTGTATCACTATATATCCCTACAAAAATGTAATTTCTGTTATACATTATTGTTAAGAGACACTGTCCTCCTTGTTTTAAGACAATAGGTTTCAATCATATGGAAAATATTGAGTGCGGTGCAAACATGGCGGGGGAGGAAAATGCAGGAGAGCCGTGACACAAGCAGACCTGCGTTTGACAAAATCGCTGCCTGCTGACAGATTAATAAACCGTCCAACTTGGTCTGAAATTTGGAGTGGCTTTTGTACTCCATTCTGGAATTCCCTGGTCCCAAAGTATTAATTGCATGTGTCAATTTAGTGACTCGTCTGTGCCTTCGATGTCAAGCCCTAGTAGCAATGCTGTCATCCGTTTAGTGCTGACGTTCTCCGCCAAGCATCGAGGAAAAGAACTCAGCAGAACGTCGCACGGGCTGCTCGTGTTTCGCTGTAGATCTTTTATGTGAAGCTGAAAGTGTCCCACTGTAATCTGCACAGTTCTGCAGAAATACAGTATTCATATCACTTTCGATTAGCTTTCTCGTCAATATATTCGCAGAGCTACTGGGGCTTGTAAACTGAAACGGTGGGGGTCATGTGACACACTGAGCTCGTCGTCACGGTTGGGAGTTCAGACAATGCTATTGGTGTATTCCAAGGAGACAACTCCCATATTGGCAGTGCTAATTCAAAAATAATGAAGACGTACATCTTCCAGTTGCTTGTGGCATCGCAGCTGCTCCCACTACACATTGTGCGTGCGTGTTGTCAAAATGCTCACATGTGTTTGTTTAGGGGGTCATAAACTGTCGAGGGTGATTGGGGCTTGTCAAGGCGTTGAGATTGTTTATGTAAATGTGATGATCAAGCCTTAAGGGATGATGGGTTGCCATGGAGAAGATGCCCAGCAGGCATCCAGCCAGGTCCAAGGAACCCTTTACTTCCCATGTCACGTGTTGACTGTGTAAGATTGATAATCAATTTGTCCCACCACAGTCGGCAACCAATTAGTGGATCGCCGGCTTTTTGTACAAATCGCTCTGTCTCTATATTGTCCTTTTAGTTTTTTTTTTATAGACTTTACATCACACAAATCTCCGTCATACTTTTTACCGCACAACATTTGAAAACACATTTTGTCCTTTTATCACTCTCGCCGTGTCCATTGGTGCGCCGCTCCGTCTGATTCCCCCTTTGATGTGGCCTCCCATATCTTTATTGCATCCCCACCATTCCTCTGCCCACTGCGCTTTTGTTGTTTCATTTCCTTTTACCTTCGTCCCGCGCTGAGTCTCCGCCCCCCCGTCCTCCCATCCCCCTCCTCGCTCGTCAGTATTCATTCTTTGAGCTGGAAACTGTCACTCATAAATCACAAGCCTCGAAGGCCTCTGCTGATAATCAGATTACCAAGCCGCTGCGTTGTATTTCTACCATTTTTCATCACACACACGCACGCACACACTCAAACACAGGAGACCTGACCGAGGCGTCAGGCAGGCTGGGGTCTGGTCATTGGGTGCAAGTCCAAATTAATAGCATCCTGTGTTCAGACTGAAAAATGTATTTTTCAGCTACACGCTCTGGTGCTGCAGCTCATTCGGTGTTTTCGGTATCTTCACGGTTCTTGATCCAACCAAAAGAGCCAGATGTTTTTTTTTTCTTTCTTCACAGGACTTTTTCACATCGCTGCGTAAAATACCACGGATCTTTTTTCGATCAGCCACCAGACGCAGAAACTTGTGCTCCAATTCCCACCGACTGATTTGACGCTAATTAATTTGATGTCCCTTATTAAGCAGCGGACCTAGTTAATGGAAACAAGCTCGCCGATAAAAGCTGATGCACAGACGACGATGTACTGTTGACCCTTAGAAATAGAGTTGACAGGTGTCTGTCGGCAGAAAGCACAGTCCCTTAATTGAATGGTTGACATTGGGTCGGCTCTAATCTCTGCGGCCCGTTGGGCTTTTAGGGATAAAAAGTGACTTTCTATGTTCGGCCTGTTGACTGTTCGCTAAACTCCTCGCTCTTTCTCCCAAGCAGTGGTTGTCCAATCGTCGCGTGTTCCTTAACGTGAGGCAATGTGCATGGCGCTCGAGTGAGAGAGACACTTTTCATTTATCGAGTGTGGAGGGGGGTTTCCTCTCTTTTCATCACTCCCAAAACCGGCAACGCAACGTAAGAAATTATTTAAAAATGTGTCTGCCCAACCCGGGCACCCTTTGTCTGGCTTTCATTACCATCGTTCATGAACAGCACGTGCACTTTGAAAATAATAGGTTGAAGCAGCCAAACAGGGTCACCCGAATGAAGCCGTGTTTTTCCACCATTTTCATTGTCTGCCGTGTTCTGATCTGTATCACTCTGCATTCACCCCCTTTATAGTCTGTCTTTAGTACCATTTCTTTTTTGTTCCCGGATTGTTTCGGTCATCAGTTTTTCTGCTTTTTGGTTCAAACATTTCTTTTGCTGTGTGAGAACCGTGCATAGCAACAGTAACCATAGCCAATGGTTCCCTGTCTGTCACCTTCTCTGAGATGAAAACAAAAGCGGTGAGGTCATTCTCCCCCAAACGGTGAAAGAGCCAAAAAGCCACCGCTGCACTGAACACATCCATTAACCCCCAACCTCTATCTCTAGACAAGGTGTTTTTTATTATCCTTCTCACTTACAGCTACATGCTTCTCTCTCCGTCTCCTCTCCGCTCTCTGCATTAAGAGCTTCCTCCACACGGCCTTCTTCTTTTCCAAATTGGCTTCTTGTTCCCTCCGCCACTCAACCATCCACCTCAGCTGGATATGGACGCGCGCCACCAGCCACCAAATCCCGCAGGGCAACGCAATCACAATCCCGCCACCAGATAAGCGGCATAAGCTGATCCCCCGAAAAACACGCACCCCTCCTCACGCCGGCTTTCTTCCTACAATATGAGGCGCACTGAGCCGTGATCTTTAGCATGCGGGATTCCCGGCGGAGAGCGGGAGCTACGAACAACAATCCGCGTCTGGTCACCGGTGTAGTTTTCTTCGATTGTTGAAAAGCATGCAGAGGTGCATGAGTTCATCCAAAGGAAAATGTTTTGTTGGAGTGCTACATTCAACAAACGCTAGGAAAGGTTCTGTATAATGAGGGTACAAACACTGGTACGAACACTTACTTTTCAGTTGTCATATTTACAGTTCTATAAATAACCCTGTCAGACTACGGTGTTAAGTTAAAGTAAGCAGCAGTGTGAAGTCAGGAAAAATAACCGTAATTGGCCGAGATTCAGCGACCTGGAACGACCTGCCTGAGGAAATAAGACTTTCTGAGTCTGAGCTTGTTGTTGTTATTTAATTTGTCTCGCGGAGAAGCACTTAAGTGCTCCATTATAATCTTAATCTTATCGTATGATCTTTTTCCGATAACTGATTTCCCGTCACTTCATCTTTCATTAGAGACTAGAGCATGAAGGCGTCTTGTTGCATTAGACGGGTTGCCAGGTGTCTCTGTCTGACTCATCCTTTAACCAAACGAAACCACCTGCAGAATCCTGCATGGATTCACATCAAAAGTCAATCCCCCGAGCATCAAATAAATCTGCACCTTCAGCTTGCCCCAAAAGAACATCAATTCCAATATTCCAGTTTCCTGTTTGTTGTATGAGCAGTCCTCCAACACATCACATGCTGCGAGTCAGACCTTTTATAGCATCTCGGGGACTGTTTTTCATCTCTAACATGGAGACTCCCTTTTCTGTTTTGCAGGAATCAATCAAGGCAGCTGTTACAGAATCAACCATTTCCCCGATGACAACGACTATGACACAGACAGCTCTGAATACTTGCTGCGTGAGTCCTCTTTATCTGCTCTTTATCTTTCCTTTAATTTTAAGAGCATGCAGAAAGTCCCCTTTCCTTCAGCGTCTTTTTCTTCCTCGACAGCAAATACTTTTTTATACAGAGATCGATCAAACGCAGGAGGAAGGCTTTCAGTGAGACAGACTTTGAACAGGTTCAGGGCTGCCGGGTTCAAAGCATAAATGATGAAATAGATCGATCAGAGCTCCACAAAATGAAAATCATTTCGAGATTTTCTTTTAAAAAAAATTCCACAAACTCTTTTTGTTGAATTGAATTTTGTTGAATTTTGATCTCTCTGAATTGCTTCCCAATCTAATCCAATGGGTGATGGATTGATTCATTAACTATCCATCTTTCGTCAACCAGTCCCTTGACTGTCATATATTGCTTAATGAATTGCGTCAAAAACGTTTTACCAAGTTATTAATCATGTCACGTCCTTCCCCCGTCGCCCCTGCAGGTATAGTCCGGGCCTCCAGCGTGTTCCCCATCCTCAGCACCGTCCTGCTGATGCTTGGCGGGTTGTGCGTCGGCGTGGGCCGAGTCTACAACAAGACCAACAACGTCCTGCTCAGCGCCGGCATTCTCTTTGTGGCTGCAGGTGAGTCTCGCTCCCAGCGATTGTTTGAGAGTTCGTCAGGTTTCATAATGAAAAGAAAAAAGGCGGCTTCATCTGGCGCCTGTGATAACGTTTGGCACTCCGTCAAAGTCGATGCAATCATGCAGATGAACTTCATCCCACAACGATAAAGGTCGAGATCTCCATTCATCACTCGCAGGTGATGAGGACCAGTGTTGTTTAAGGCTCTCGGTGGTGATGACGTTTTTAGATTCTAGATTACTGGTTGTAACATTTTCCCTTTTTGTCTTTTATTTCTCCCCCCGCCATCAATTCTGCGTGTTTCTGTTTCTCAGGTCTGAGCAACATCATTGGCATCATCGTCTACATCTCCAGCAATGCCGGAGACCCCAGTGACAAGCGTGACGACGACCGCAAGTACACCTACGCGTACGGCTGGTCCTTCTACTTTGGCGCCCTCTCCTTCATCGTGGCCGAAACGGTCGCCGTCCTCGCCATCAACATCTACATCGAGAAGAACAAGGAAGTCCGCTGGAGGGCGCGGCGCGAGTTCATCCGCTCGCTCTCCTCCTCCTCCCCGTACTCCAGGATACCCAGCTTCCGGTACCGCCGGCGGACCAGCTCCCACTCGACGGAGGCGTCGCGGGAGAACTCGCCGGTGGCCGGACTGAAGGGGATGCCGTCGTCCGGCGGGCCCCTGGACGAGCTGTCCATGTACGCCTTGGCGAGGGACAGCGGGGCGGAGAACGCGTACAGCCCCGAGCACGAGGCGGCCGCCGAGTTCCTCCAGGTGCACAACTGTTTCCCCAGCGACTCGAAGGACGGGGGGAATCGCAGGACCACGCCGGTGTGAGGGCCGCGGGGCCGGGGTCCTCCTGCAGGCGGAGGAACGCGAAGCGATGAGCGCGGGCTGATCTGTTGGAGATTTTGGAAGAGACTGGCTTTTTTGAAAGGGCCTGGAAGGAGGAGAGAGAGGACGCTCAGCTGGACGAAAGATGAGCCAGTTCAAGACCTGAGAACCATTTATCTACTTTTAGAAATCATCAAAGCAGATCTTTGCATCTGCTGGAGCTGATTGACAGTTCTGTGTGGAGTGGTCACTAAACATTGTGGGCGGGACATGTTGAGATGCGCCAATCAGTATAAATCAACCTGAAAAAGATTGATCAAGGTGCTAGATGAAATGTACTATTCAACTTGAAAGTGTTCCATTTGTATGTATGTAGATAAACTGTCACCCCAAGTTTTTGTTGGATTCCCAAAACCAGTTTGGTCTTGCCTTATACTCTAATCAAAGGTTTATAAGAGACAACTGTCCCTCTCTCTGTATCTCTGATGTACGGCCTTTACAACAAACTCCATCTGAGTGTAGTTTAGGAGTCATTGTTCAACGGTTGACTTGCTGAGTTGTGATGTATTGAGCGTCCAGTGTTTGTTGTTGGTACGTACGAGTCGACCCTCAAAACTCTCTCGCCGCCTCATCGTTATTCTTCTCTGATTGTCAGTCGAAACTTGTCTGCTTTCCCAGCCGAGCACTTTTTTTCAATGGCCCCCCCCTTTTCCTTCGCATCCATGTCAGCCGGCCGTCCTTTTGTCACAGCGCACCTGATTGGTGTGTGTGTTCCCCTCACGACGGACGGGCAGCTGACCAAGAGGGGACGCTGCTCGGAACTGTGAAAACGCTACAGGTCAGGACTTCTTTTTGCTCCGAAAGAAAAAACGTCCTCAGCGCTTGATCGGATGAGGGATCACAGCCGTCTCTCCGTCGCCGAGTCCACCCGGCTGTTTCCTCCCGCTGGACCCGGACAGATGCAGGGGGAGCTGTCTGCGACCGCATCCCTAAAGATGTGAGGGGGGTGTGTGTGTGTGTGTGTGTCTGTGTGTACTGTCGTCCTGCTTGTCTGTCACTGCTTTTTCTTTTAGTTCTCTCAGGAAATACTGTCTCGTTCTTGCTGGTTGGACACTATTGAGCCCCCTCCCTAATTTGTGGCAGTGCTGGGAAATGGACCAGGGATGAAAATAAACCTTGTGAAAAAGATTTGAGAAAAGAAAATGCCATAATTGTATTTATTTGTTTGCTTGAGCTGGTGTGTGTGTGTGTGTGTGATTGTCAGTCTCAGGGCTATTCGGTCGGTTATGGTTTTGCAAACGAACTTACTCAAACACAGGCGTATTTGATTGTATTTAGTGTGCTTGAAATCCCATTGGACAAAAACCTTCATATCCTCGGCTAAGCTCATGTAACACAAAGCCACCAACGTGATCCGTTCCAACACTTTCAAAGTACAATTTGGTGAAAAACCCCCCCAAATGTATTTGTTTGTAATGTCAAGTTGTATATAAAAGTACAAAAATAACATTGAATGTGCAACACAGCATTCAAAGCGTTTTACTGAACAAATGTCTCAAACATATTCAGGCAAACACACACTGTTTAAGGTCAATGTATTGAATGTTCTGTGAGGTGAAGTATAGTGAGTATGTGTAGGAAACAAAGCTATATTTCCCATGTGTAAGCACAGCCGTACTTTACATTGTGTGCTTTTTTCTATTCAAGGCTTACTATCGTTGTGAAGTAAGCAAACTCTCAATATTTCTTCCAAGGAATTAGCGATAAACTAATTTGCTGACTTGTACACCAAAAGAAATCCACAGAAAAGACTTGTTCTAGCGATTAAAAAATGATTCCATTTCTGGTTTCAAGAACATCCCTCCTGTCAAAGTGTTTTCTTTTAGTATTGGATAGGAGAGTGCCTTTGTTTTTTTATTTTATTCAAAATTTCCTGTATTTTCTGCTTTTATTGTAACAATGATTTTCTTTTTTTTGGTTGCAACCCAAGAAATACTGTAAATAGATAAATAAACTATATCAGGATTATCTGTTGTGCTCTAGTGGGTCTTTCTTTTAAACAATACTACCGCGATGCCAGCGGGTCTGTGACATCAAACTGTGACTTGTTGATGTTTTCCGAGTTTAATATTTACAATGTTAAATTTAGATAGATTTAGTATATAAGACAATACTGATACAGCTATACAGTAACTGTATAGAAACCCATGTGAATGAAGGTATTCATCTCAGAAAAGCTTGATTTCCATTGAAAACCTTTGATTGCAGCGAGTCATTCGGATTTCTTTGGCTGACCTTCTCTGTCCTGAATGTACTGTTGCATAAGACTGAGTCATTGTCCTCTCTGAATGAGCCATTAGCGTCCTCAGTCTCAGAGTCTCTGTGTTGTAAATCAGTCAATAAATCATTCAGCAATCGTGTCGATGGCAGCACTTTTAAATCAAAGTGTTAATATGCCGTCACTGTGGTTCAGAAACCGATGCAGATTGCAGAGCCGATCCAATCAGAAATAATCAAACCTACCTATTTTTTTTCTCTCAAGGCAGTGTATGTCACTGCTTTGTCAAAGGTTTTATTTGGCAAATAAAACAATGAACCTGCAAGGAAAATCTGAATATTACCAACTGCATATTTTCGTTGCACAGCTGAAAAAGCTCTGAATTCAGAGAACCCTCTATTTAAAGTAATAAAATGCTTTGACTTATAAAAAAAAAACATCTACATCCGCTTTTCTGATATGTGTAATTATGCTGGTGGGATTTCAATTTAGTTTGCTGTTTATCTAGCAAGGGAAATTATGTTTCGATAGTAAAATTTGATGTTGCAATTAAACCGCCACATCGGCCCTTTCTAATTTCCACCTAATTAATTTTTTCCTCAGTTCAGGCTCATTAACTCTCACTGTCATCGGCCGACCTCGGCTTCCTGTTGATCGATGGCCACGGCTTCAGGTCGAATGAGCGAGGAAGGCGTCATGTGTGGCAACCGACGCCGCTGTTTCAGAAACAATTTTTAACACGGACCCTTCGTGGCCTCGGGACAATCTAATTTAGCTTGAGTAATGCGGCCTGTCATTAGCAGACGAATATGTAGGCAGGTCCCTCTGCGCAGTCCATTTCGTAGTGGGTAAAATTAGCCAACTGTTAAGGTTGTTTAATAAAAAACCTCAGATAGTAAAGCTGGAATCTGATCACCGAGGCTTTTAGAAGTGACTTTGTCTAAACGCTATATCATTCATTTTTCATTTTCTGTTTCTCGTCCCTGCTGCGAACATGCATGGTGGATGACAGTCATCCGCGTCGCCGGCTGTTGCCGGGATACCTCCTCAGTGGCGAGGTGTTTGGTCCCCGGGGGGGCCGCGAGCAGATGAAGCAGGTCAGAGGGGTCACCGACAGACACTGTTATTACACACCCGGAGACGTGCTGCGGCTCTCACTGCCGGCCTCCTCTGGGGGGGAAAGAGGCCGTTTTGTTTGCGAACGCTTCCAGGTGGAACATGATAATGAACACAAATGTCTCTTCCTTCTCCTCGAGCAACACTGTGGTATTGAATTTCTTTTCTTTCTTTTTTTTTTTTTTTTGATGCAGCGCGTGAGATGATTTCTCTTTTATGATGAATTTCCCGGTTCAGTTTGCGACTAAAGGGAGCACTTTGGTCTCACCTCATATACACTTTCTAAAAAAGTGTGGTGCATCAGACAGGCTGTGTTCCTCTCTCGCTCCTTACCGCCTGTTCTTGCTGTTCATGGCTTCCCGTTTACTGTGTTAAAACCCAGGGCTCTGTGGGTGTTTTCAGGGCTGAAAATGGGCCAGAATCCTTACTGAAGTGGGGCAGCGGTTTATAAAAAGCACGCTAATTTACTCAAGTCTTTCACAGGGAAGAGGTTGATTGTGCCTTTGAGAGGTATCAGGTTATTAGTGGGGTTTTTTCAAACTGTGTTTTTTAGTGAAGGCCTTCTTAAACGTGTGTGTGTGTGTCTAGTCAATGTCGTTAAACAACTTACAAAATTGAATGTCAAATTTTATAACTCCGATGCCGAAGCCCTTTTTCTGTCTTTCTAGATCAGAAATCTAGATCAACTGTTGGCACCAAGTGGGACCGCTGCCTCACGCCTCAACTGCTGATTGGCTGAGTAATTAGATCAGCTCATTCAGATGACAACTAATAGAGGACCCCCCTCCCCTCCCCCCGTCTAGGAGTCCCCCCTGACACACAGCGCCAGAGACCATTCAGCTGCAAACAGACTGAATAAGACTAATAAAACTGAATAAAACCATCTGATGAATGACAGATACGTAACGTCAGAATTTGAATAGCAGTCAAAACATCAAACCTCTTTTAGGAGTTTTAGAAACTGGCACACGCTCGCAATCAATCGACTTTTAAATGAAAGCGTCTGATCGTGACCTGACTCTCGACGACGTCAGAATGGTGGCTCAAAAGGTGCGAAAGGTGTAAACAAACCCGCCGGACATCTTCATCCCGCACCCGAATGGCCTCAGCTCACGGAAGGCAACCTGGGAGGGAGAGGAAGCGAGGAGAGAGCTAGAAACTAGGGCGCTGTTATCTGGCCCCATTTCAACAACCACAAGGCACAAGGCACAGAAAGAGAAAGAACGAGGTGTGGACAGGAGAGCGGGAGAGAGGAGAGATCATCTCGAGTGGCGTCTAGCTGCACACAACGAGGATCTAAAGACAAATAAGACAACCTTTGACTGTCCTACACACCCCATACGGCTACGCACCCTTCATCTACACACACACACGTCGAGCAGCAACATGTTTGAGGAGCAGGTGACCAGGGTGAAGATCACGTCCGTGGTGATCTTGGTGGGAATGTCGTCCATGCTGGCGGCGGTGGTGACGGACCATTGGGCGGTGCTCAGCCCCCGGGTGGAGAAGCTGAATGCGACCTGCGAGGCCGCCCACTTTGGCCTTTGGAGGCTCTGCAAGAAGAGCATCTTCATCGTCGAGGAAGACCCCGACGGCAAAGGCTGCGGCCCCATCAGCCTACCTGGAGGTAAAGAGTCCTTTGTTCCCTACTGTTGGTGGAGGAAAACCTCCCGTCCGGAAGTCGTTGCGGTGCCGCCCTCACGGTCCGCGTTGTGATGTATTTTGGCACATATTCTTTTAGCAAATTTAAATTTGCATGTCAAAGGTCAGACTCAAACAGCAGAAATGAACTTAGCCGCTGAATGTTCTGTCTGCTAACGTACATTATTAGATGCTTTTTCCATAAGTCTTGGTATATTAAAGCCTCAGGGTATTTTATGAACCTGTTGGTGGGTTTAAAGAGGCACCCGTAAGGGGTTTGGAGCGTGTGTGTCTGTACATGTGAGCGATATAATCTAACACTGTGTAACAGTTTTTATGGCCGGCTTCTCATCATCATTCCATCATTGCGTTCCACAAGTCCAAGTCTCTAAAGAGGCTACCAATCAGGCGCAGGCGAGCAGCCGAAGTCAGGGAGTCAATGGAGGAGCTTTTCAGCTTTACATGAATCTACTCTCCCAGGGTGGATGAGAAAATAAAATCAATTTTACCTCAGAGAGGAAGTGTTGCTTCATCACACACTCGACAGCCATGTACATGCTAGAATGTATAAGCTATTTAACTTAACCACGTCTTCTTCAGCATGGCTCAACATGTCAATGCGGATCAGATATTGGCTTCTTCAAAGGGTGTTTTCCGATAAACATGTTAGGTGGGAGAGGCCTTAATATTGCGTAACGTGATAAAAACGTGATAAAAAAAAGAGTGCAAAAAACATTTGATCTTTTATTTAAAAAGTGTGCATAGCCTTTGCGCTTTAATTACCAGTCCCGTCTGAACCGATCCGGCCCGCCGGCCTCTGGCTGCGTGCGCGTGCCTCGCAGCCTAAAGCAGAGATTTCTCTCCGCATCTCTCATCGACTGAGCCTCTGGCTCCAGCACCTCAGGATCAGCACGGGCCTAATGAAGTCTGTCTCCCCGCTCCGGCTCGTGAGTTAAAGCACACCTGGGAGACCCGGGAGGGATGAGGGGAGCTGGTGAAGAAAACACAAGTCTGCGTAGGTGAACGAGAGCACCTCCATGGTAACCACAGGAGGTGGGGGAGGTGATGCTGTATTAAGATGCTAAAGGGAGGGCGGAGAGGCTGACAGATGAGGCTTTTTTCCCCTTTGAACAAGACTCCAGCTGTATTGTATCAGTTATAACCCCCCATGACCTGACCGATGTCTGTCAGGGTGTCTGCAAAGAAAAGGACAATAAAACTGCGTTAACGCTGCATGCAGAGGTGGCTGGCCAAAAGCACCACACCCGCCTTACTTTAGATGCTTCCAAAAGTTAGTATGCGTCGGATATTTAGCACATAAGAAAAGCATAACGTGAAAAGGAGAAAACACCTGAGTCGATCAAGAGTGTTCCTTAACAGAAAACATTCTTGATGAACGTTACACCCAAATAAAGCAGCAGTGATTTGATCTGACAACAGACATTTGCGTTTTGCAACAGAGGGAGAATGAGTTACTCATGAGACTGTTTTTCAAATAGGCACAATTACATTGCGTTAGTGGAGGGTTTACATAACAGCGGCAGCAAAGCAGTGAACCCGAATGACTTTTGAAATGAGCTTCCCACTAAAAGAAGCGATCATGACCGCGTGGATGCTGTGAAAAATCAAAACAAAACCTTTACGGATTGCGTGGCGCTGCAAATTAAAAGCACATATTGGGTTTTTATGGGCATGTGTGTGTGTGTGTTCCTACACATACGTGCTGAAAGAAGGAGAGATGCTTGTTATCAGGGATGTTTTTAAAGCTTCCAACCGGAACGGTTATCTTCAAATAAATCTCCCCTCCTGCTTCTTCCAGTGACACAATGCTGGTGTCCCAAATTCGTACTCCCAGAGGCCCAGATTTCACCTTGAGCCAAAGCGTCCACTTTCTACACGCCCAGTCACTTCTCCTCACTAATCTGCCAGCTCTGGGTGCAGAGCCCAAGCTGCGGAGGTGTAGTGCTCATTTGGCATGCCGAAAACATGCAGAATGTCCAGTATTTTAATGAAACACTCCACATTATGTAAATGTGAGAAACATAAAGGGAACAAAATTCAGAATTCAGCATCGACTACAGTATGATACGCCTGGATGGCGTTTGTGGCGGCTTAGATGTCGAAAGACTAGCTTTACTTTTTGGATTTCACAATAAAAGTCAGGCATGGATACTCACGAGAACATTGGCGGCCTGCTGCTGAGAGAAAGTTTCACTCCCAGCATCTCCTACGCTGAAATGTGGAAAAGTGCACCCCGTTTATATTAAAAAACACAAGATCACTGGGTGCTTTAACTGTGGAACTTATTTCAACACATTTTCATTTGCTCCGCAGCACCACATGGACTGAAACTGCTCGTTGCTGCTCTGATCGTATTTATATTCGGCTCACATGTTCCCAGTTAAAAATCTAAAGAGCTGTTTTAAGATGTGTATTTTTTTAACCTCACAGAGCTGCAAACTTTTCAAAAAACCTAGGAGTGAGATTTTGGTGGCTCAAATATCAGGGAATTGGAATTAATTTGGCGTTGTAGCCAACTGGGAAGTTATTAGCCACTCAAATACCAGCACTGCCCATCCTATTCACATTGACCCAGAATTAGTCAATCATTTTGCGTGGCTATAGGAAAAGAACAGCCCCCCGCCCCTGCATCGCCTAAAAAAAAAATCTTCTCGAACACTCCTTCAAATCAAAAGGAGGCTATTTTCAATACTAAATGTGAAAATAGGTAAACACGTCAAAGTACTTTCAGGAGAACAATAGTGAAAGGACAAGGACAACCACAAGAAACCAGACAGAATACAGGACAGAATTGAGAGACAGGTTTAATGACGAAAAGGTAAAGGAGAAGCTCAGAGGAGGCTGGCGGTCGAAAGAGGCAAAATCAAAATGACAGGCGGTACCTCACTGTAATCGCTCTCCCACGCCTGGAACTAAATCTCCCAATTAGCCTGACTGCAAGGTCAATGATGCGCACGCAGATGTCCTCCTCCTCCTCAGCCAATGTCTTTACCGGGTTTAACCTTTTGTGGGATGTTTTCTTCATTACATTTAGTACAACATGAGAGAGTGTAGTTGACTGTGGTTGTTTTTTTTTCCAACTTACTGGCCCAGCACACCGAGGTAATGGCAAAACACATGTTGCCATGGTGAAAAAAAGGAGAGGTTTGTTTTCCTGACCACCCATTTTAGAGATTATTTGAGCCCTTCCTGTAGATTGTAAAGAAGTCTATAAGAAAGTGAACCTACATCTCAGGTGATTTATCCCTGATAAACAAGAGTTTCTGTGCATCACCTTGTGACGCAAAAGACAACACATTGGGATCAAGCACATAACTGAGCTCAGGCTTTTGCAGCTTGCTTTGAACACACCAAAGGTCTCGCTGTTACTGAATATTATCTGCTCACGGCTGTCTGTGCTGTGAGCAGATAATATTCTCCATAGAAACTGGAGTAGATCATATAACTACACCCCTGAATAACACGTTGGCTTAGATTAGTTTAGCCCCAGAGGTAAAGGCAGCTAATGAGTGAAAACCAATGAAAAAAATAATATATTTACATATTTCCAAGTTGCTCTGTGACCCCGCCTCTGATTCTTCTGACTGCTCACCAGTGCATCCCCTCAATCACACACACACACACACACACACACACACACACACACAGACATGCATGAGCACACTCCTCTCAATTTGCCTTAGTAAACAGACCTGAAACTGCCTGTTGCTAGGTTACCTCTAGCGATTATTTCTCGTCCTGTTTAACAAACAGCTCATCTGTTTCCTGGTGCACATAGACACACACTCACACACACACTCACACACACACACACACACACACACACACACACACACACACACACACACACACACTCACAAATATAATTTGCACACACATACAGACACCAACACATCTGCTTTATGGGTTTAATCTCAGCTAAATCTGTGGAGCAGAGGGAGGACGGGACTCTCCCTTGACCTTTGCACCCCCCCCTCCCCCCTTCTCAGCCCAGCTTTATTAAAGATTGTGGTCAAAGAACTAAAACATTTACAAATAGGAGCTGCAACAATTGGTCGTATGTTGAATCACACATGAAAATGTCTGTCCCTCTTTCTCCCTCTAAGTGCAAAGTGTCCTGTCCTTGCATCCACCCTGGTAAAGTGTTCTTGGACTGGATGGGCGGATAAACGTTGGCTCCACAATATTATATTATTATTTTTTGTGAGGTAATAAGTTAGGTTTGTAAATGCAGCTAGTTAAATATCCTATTTCATTTAGTGAACGTCAAGTCGGACTGAAATGAATAATAATCTCTTACTTTTTTATGTTTCATTAAAAAATGTGTGTCTGATGGCTTTCTTGTTGAACCCGTAGAGAGATTTAGCTTTCAGTCAAGGTCAAATTGGCATTGAAAACACACCGGACTATAAACACAACCTGAACCACCTTCTCTATACTCCCGCCCCCCCCCCCCCCCCCCCCGTCCTCCCCCCTCCCTATGTCCGCCCCTCTTCTTACTTTGCAGCTGAAAACTGTTCCTACTTCAAACACTTCACCTCGGGGGAAGAAGCAGAAGTTTTTGAAGTCAAGACTCAGAAAGGTGGGTGCCGCCTCACAAGGGCACGATGCAACACATCTGGATTTGTCAGACCCGGTTAAAGGAAGGCGGACAGTAAAACACAAGTAATTTCTTAAAACATTTAACAACAACATTGGAGTTATTAGGAGGCTTATTATTCAATCATAGTATTGCTATTTCTATTTGGTGGCACATTTTGTTGTGTAGCTTTATGTGGATGTTTACTGTAATTTTGTCATTTCAGACCTTTTTGACAAAAAAAAAGTCTCTCTGTTAGTCTTGTGTCTAATGTCAACTGTGTTCATGACGCTACGTGGAGTCAATCTAGTTAAACTAGCCAGTTAAACTAGCTAGTTAACAGCCAGTTAAACTTATTTCACATATATTCACTATCTGATGAAAAACAAACGCAGGTTGAATCACTCAAAATAACGCGTTATATAGACAGGCATCTTCAAAGATCACTGTAAACAAAAATTATGGCTTTTGTTAAAATGATACCAAAAATAATTGACGATTTCCAGCATGAAGAGACTTTGACACACACACACACACACACACACACACACACACACACACATGCCCACAGACCAACACTCCTCAAACAGACTTATGAGATGTATGTGTAAGGCTATTTACTTGTGTGATACTCCACAGTTGGGGTGCTGAGGATTACATCCATCACAGCTGAGTGTTAGCGAGAGGTAAACACTAGATTGTGTTCATGTGGAATCAGACAGGAGGGGAGGCGGACGGGAGGAGGAGAGAGGTGCTCTCATCATCTTATTACCAGCCCGCAGCCTCTTATCGGTCATGCAAAATGGCAATGTTGCCATTTAGGATGAAAGACGTTCATGTTGTTTTTTAAAGTGAGGCTAATTTAAGGGCCGATTATTTGTGTGTTCAAATGATGAAATAATTCTGCAGTGACTTTGCCGTCCGTATCTCCATCATGCGATCTCTCTTGCCTCCTCGCTGTCTTCTCCCTCCCTCTCGGCCTCCTCTCGCTGTCTCCTTTCGTCCTTTTTCCTCTTTTTGGTTTCTCTCCTCAGAGTACAATATCTCAGCAGCAGCCATCGCCATCTTCAGCCTGTTCTTCATGTTCCTGGGCACCCTCTGTGTCGTCCTGTCTTTTGGGAAGGGGCGGGACTACCTGCTGCGGCCCGCTGGGATGTTTTTTGCCTTCGCAGGTCAGACGGCGTGGCCGACTCTTTCGTTCCCCCTTGTGTTCTTGTCTCTTTTGTTGCCGCTCTACTTGAAACAAGGTGTGTCAGTGTCGTCGCCTCAGCTAATTAAACAGAGTTGAAGGCGCTGGTTACTCATTCAAATATTTTAGGAGGTGTAGCTCTGTCAGATTAAACTCCCATCTGGCAGCATTTGTATTGACAATGTTGCAAAAAGTTCAAACACATATATATTTTTTTACATCAATGTGAGTGAAGCTTCTGCTTTCAACAACAACTCATCCTTTTTTCCTGTTTTCCGGCACGCAGGTCTTTGCATCATCATTTCCGTCGAAGTCATACGGCAGTCGGTCAAGCGGATGATTGACAGCGATGAGACCATCTGGATCGAATACTACTACTCCTGGTCCTTTACCTGCGCCTGCGCCTCCTTCTTCCTGCTAATCCTCAGTGGAGGCGCCCTGCTCCTCATCTCCATGCCCCACATGCCACGTAACCCCTGGGAGACTTGCATGGACGCGGAGCCCGACACCTTAGAGTAGCCAACTGGATAGACAAAAATACAAGTAGCTTTGCACTTTAATAGAACAGCCTGTACCCTTACTGCGAGCATTTACACACGTTTCCAACCTTCCATGTCCTTTTATTTTAAATTGTCTAAAATATTATAACTAACTTGGAGAGTTTTGTGACACCGACCACAGGGAAGTTCCAGCTTTCTTCACAGGAGATAACAGTTACAAGTGGGGAGTTCGATGAGACTTTATTGGTGGGTTCAAAAGCCGAGGAATGATTCATCATTAGTCATCCGTCAAGCGGCCCCTTTTTTACAACAAGAATTCACGAAACTCGCAGTATCATTTTTATAAAGTCCAGATGTCATTTTTTGCGTTGACGCTTGTCATGTAATAATGAAACTCATTTATTATTTCTGTGGGGATGTAAGGAGAATATCAACAAATGTAACTAAATATGTTCTGAAATAAAGTACATACCATCGCTTGAAGTGGTTTTCTGATGGATTTTGATACTGTAGTGAATAAATTGCCCTCGGTGGATGCTTGGAAGTCAGGAAAATCTTGAAAAGTGGCACATTTAAGGCTTTGCTAATCCTGTTCAAATATGTTCTGAACATCTGAACTATCCAACTGAAGTTATGTTCTTCACTCACATGAAATTAGAATTAGTTTTGAGATTATTATGTATAGTAGATACAGTATATTTATACGGGACTTGTCTAGAATAAAACATTTTATCTACAGTGCAACAACAAGTAGGTCTGACATGATCAGACCAAGACTTGAATCAAATCTGATACAAAAGACCAGGCAAGATGAAAATGCCACACTAAAATAGATAAAGACGCTGTCACGCTTTGCTTAGAATGAAGTAGAGAGTCATCATAACAATCCACAGTCACTGCAGCAGCTTCTTTTTTCCTTCAAGGACTCACAATCAATCATCCCACTAATTGCCTCGAGAGAAATCACACGCCTGAGACTCCCTCGTTCCCGTCACTGTGTCCAGCTAAATACCAGTAACCTCAGGACAAAGCATTACTTCCAGAACCAGCGGCATTTCCCGATATGTTGGATAACCTGCTTTTACCTTGTAACAGTCAAACAAAGGTAAAGTATTGAGAAAAAGAGTGAGTGAGTGAACAACATTTATTTTCGGGTGCATATTTTTTTTCCTGGCCCAGTAAGCTCCCGCTTCAGCTTTGCAAATAATCATGTATGTAGCATGATACAAACAGAACAAAAAGCCAGCTGAATACAGTATGAAGCTAAGATGGGCTTATTGAGCATGAAATACATCTTGAGCCTCCTCAGAGAATTTCTTTAAAGGAATATAAATGACACAAATTATGTTTTCATTAAAGCATGAAAGAAAAATGCTATCAGAAACAAAAACAACACATTTTCTTTTAAGTAGCTTTCTTAGTTCTATGAATTTTCAATTTATCATCTTTTTAATAAAAAAGCACACATCTCCAGACAGCAGTCCTTTTCCTTGCGTAGCTTTCCCACAAAACAACCATCTGCTTCAAACATGATATTTTTTCTCTCTGGCCCTGAAGTCATTCAGCTTGTGCAGGTGCAGTGAAATAATTAAAGTTACCTAAATTACGCTGTTTCAAAGGAGAGCGTTCATCAATTACATTCACTCTGAGCTCCATTTCCATTTGTCTGCAATTGCAAAAGTAACCTTGTAGTGGTACATTTAAAAAAACAAAAACAATATGTGGGTGAGTGTGTCTTTCTCAAAAGAACAGAAAAAACATAAAGGTTAGAGGTGCATTTTAATATTAGTATCAATCTTCGTGCAGGTTTTTCAAGATGGTTATATGGTCTCTTACCAATATCGATGCATAATATCTATATATGTATGTGAAGAGAGAAAGAGAGAGAGTAAAATGATGTACATCCATTCAGTCTTTTCTTGACTGAGAATTTCCCCACCCTGGTCTCACCGCACACACTCGCACACTCGAGACACTTCGGTCTGGGAATCTCAAGCATGAATTGGGAAACAACCCTACTGGAAACGGGTCCAGAGACCTTTCACACTGCAGGTCATTTATCGCTTTATCAGGGGTGGCTGTGATAGATGCACAACGGGACCTTCGCCTTGAAGCAGTGACAGCAGAGTGGGCAAAGTGTGAACGTTTACGCCCTGACACACACACACACACACACACACACACACACAGATTGTGATCCCTGGAACTGCTTTGGAGTTTTGTTTTATATTACACATATTTTTTTCCACACGTCAGAAACAATTGTGGAAATCACCCTGATTTGTCTTCTTGTAAATTTTCTTTTGACTTTTCCATTTTCGGCTGATATTAATGTATTGGTAATTTTGTACAGTAATCCTACTTTTGTCCTTCTGCAACCTGCCTTCTGTTTTTGTTCCTTCTGGTCATTTTTTTTATGTCTTTGTCTCACTCTTTGTTTGCTAATCTTTTTATTATCTATGTGCTTCAACTTTTATGTTTGTGCCTCTCTTTATTGCCATGGCAGCAGACTAATCCCCCCCTGTGTTTCCTCTGTGATGCCTTCATTATTTACCCTGTTTCTTTGTTTTCCATCTCTTCTTCTCTCCTCTCCCTTTCCTTTGGAGGCAGGGACAGTGGGTTCCTCTCCTCCTTTTTTCATATCCTCGTCCTTCCTCCTCTTCTCTCCCATTTTGTCTCCCCTATCTCGCCCCTCTGTATCTTTCTGCTCAAGTGCTCTCTCAAGTCGGCCCTCTGCTGTGTAATGACCTGGACCCGTAGTTACTGTTGAGAGCAGATAACAATCCAAACCAACGCCAGGGCAAGCAAAGAAGGATCGGAGGGGTGAAGTAAGGAGGCAGAGAAGTGTTTTGCATATTGCATATTCAAAAGGTGAAGACATGTCGACTGCTAGAAGCCAATGAAGTACTTAACGCATGTATTTCAAATTTCGTTTTCTGATGCACTGAAACTGTGGCGTTTTCAAATTAAAACGTGGTAGTGTGGACATAAGGTTAGAGGTCACAGGGCTTCAGTTGGTGTAAAGTATGTGTTTTAGACACTCACATAAACATAAGCTCTGGTCCTGCTATCATAAGCAACGTGAAGGTCGTCAAAACCGATTTTTTATGAATTATTTATCTAGGTCTGTTTTCACAATCAATAGGGAAGAGAGGTGGAAAAAAAAGGTTGGGCAATGATTACCTAAAAAAACACAAACACACACGCACGCACACACACACACACAGGAAACAATTGTTAAAAATGATTAGCATGGAGGCGTTATTCACTCGGTCCTGGTGGAATATAAAAGATTTCTCTTATGTTTTTCTTCCATTATATAAGGGAAAAGCAGGAATGAATGGCTGACAGAATGAGAATGAGTAATCACTGAGACGACAACCAATCAGGAACAGTTGTTTTTTAAGAGCCAACAGCAAATGTGACTCATTTCTGTGTTTCCACTACTTTACGTTTTCTTGTCTTAGATTTTTTGTTGTTGTAACTTTTTCTTTCCACCTTCTTTATAAGAAAATAAAGCAATATCAAAAGGACAATAACAGGAGCCTGATGTTTGTTTGTGAAGCTTAAACTTATTATTGTTATTGAGCAAAGAAGAATTTAAAACCGAAACAAAATCATCCAGTCTCACTGTGTTCATATTTTGAATTTGGAGTTTCCTCTTCCCATCACTTACAGTTCCAGTAGATGCTGTGGGAAGAGAGGAAATCATCTGGAGCATAGCATATAATGACAAAACTCTCATGAATAAGCCAGAATTAATATGCAGCAAGTCCACCTACACATCGTTCACA